AAGATGTTGAAGAGATCTTTACTCCTGCTTTCCTTTCATGGCTGTCGTTACAGGAAAGATTACCAGGCGGATATTACGGAAGATTGCCAAAAACGACCGAGATGTGGGGGACATCTCCACCTTGGCAAACCCGGGCATCATAAAACATCTCTTCAACAACAGATGCGACACTGAACAGTAGCGGCGAGACCTGTCCCTGCTGAGCAGAACTGTACCAATAGCAGTGTCCTGACGAGCAGGTCCTCTGAATTACCGCTGCCTGCCCTGGGGAGGGAGCCTTCCCCCGCTGAACTGAATGTACAAGATTAGGAATGAGGGAAAGGCTGGCTCGGGAGAGGTCGCGTCTCTCGGGCATGTCCGTGCCTCGGAGGACGTTCCAGATGGGTATCACACACCTGAGGTCCAGCCTCATGCACAAAGGGACTCGCCCTCCTCCCTTTTCACCACCTCGTTTCTTGAGTTTTAATTTTATTTTCTTGGGGGAATGGAGGGTATTAATTAACTTGATGTAATTGAGGGGCCCGGGCACCTAGTGCACAGCGGAGAGGAGCTTTGGGGGTTGGAGGGGAAGTGGTGCTGGAGTTACTCAATGCAGGCCGGCCGGGGAGGGGAAGCTCCCGTTGCCCATGGGCCAGCTCAGCTTCCTTTTCTGCTTGGGGGGAGAACTTCAAGCCGCTCTCACATCATCACCGTGTAGCTGAGTGTTAGTCTTGCATCCACTGTCAGAGCCTGTTGCTAGCAGAGCTCCCCGAGCCTGAAAGCGGGTGGGACAAGGCTCAAGGGAGCTCTGTGCTTTAAATGGCTTTTTTTAGAGCAATTTGGTTCCCCGGTGCCAGCATTCGTGTCCTCCCCCCCCCCCCCAATCACAGAATAGCCTAGATTGGAAAAGACCTTTAAGATCTTTGATTCCAACTGTTCACCCAACACTGACAAGTCCTCGACTAAACCATATCCCTCCAGCATCCTTCACTGGCTGTGGACACAATAGGGGGTCACAGATGGTTTGGAGGAGAAAAATCTTGGTCTGTTGTGTCCCACAGAGCACCACTGCCACCAGCTCAGAGCTGGGTGCCCCTGGGGTGTCCCAAGGCAGGAGTGAGTGCTGCTGCTACCAAACAAGGGAGGGAAAACAAAGCCAGGCCGAGGCACCTTCCCCGTCACAGGCAAACCACAACCATCACTACAGCGAAGGAACCAAGGCAGGCAGGGCCTTTCCCATCAGGAAAAAAAACGGTGGAAATTAGCTTTTGCTTATATCTGACATGGCTTTATGCTGAGGAAAAAAAATCCAGACCAACCCAAAAGCTCAAGTCCAAGAGCCTGAGCATCCTCAGGGTGCTGCCAAAGCCATTCTCCAAATGCATTACATTTAACTCCAGCCCTGGGTGGGGTTGGAAGAGATACCTCCTTTGTAATATCTGTATAAAAAATTGCACGTGAACTGTTGAATTTTGCACTTAAAACCACCAAAGGAGAAATGGGCTTTAAAACTTACTGCAGCAGCCATTTCGGCGAGTGCCAAGGTACAGGCTTTACCCACAAGTTGAGCTCACTTTAGGCTGAGCTGGGAAGGAGGAGGCGGCTGCCTCTGAGGCTGGTCACTCAGGGCAAGTTGTTCAAGTCCCAAATCTCACTTCTTACCTGCTCCTCTCACTGGCACAGCACTTCTTGTGAACTATAACCTCAGCGTGTGCTGGTTCCTGCCCCTCCTCGTCTACAAGGATTCCTCCAGCACCTCCCTCTGTTCCTCCTCCCCTGCTGTGTGATTCTGGCTGGCCACAGCTAGCTTATGCGAAATGGAATAAAATTCAAGGAGACAAAACAGAAGCAGAGTTGAGAGTGTGGGGGGGTCGTAGGTGCTTGTCTGCTGTTGAGGCAGGGGAGAAGGGGCTGCTCAGGCATTGCTGTCGGCCCTGCTGTGCCATAACCCGGGTAGGGATTTGGGAGTGGGTAGGTTGCTGCAGAACCCAGGGCCAGGACGTGGCTCCAGCAGCTTGAAGGCTCTGGAAAGGGTCAGGCCCAGGCATACAGCTGCCCCAAAGCCTGGCCAGGGAGGAGCCAAACACCTCCTGGATGCAGCTAAGTTCAGACAAAACCAGCATGCAGACTATGCAAATGTTTTAATCTCTGGCTGAGGGTAATCAACCTGCCCCTCCGAACAAAATAACCACCCGGGAGTCACAGCATCAGTCACACTTACAGAACCGAATTCTTTCCAAGGTGAAAGATCAACGATTGAGGAACACAGTGCCACGGCTCGGCAGCAGGGTGCAAGGCTGTCAGTCAGCACTTTTGTTCTTGAGAAATACCAGCTTTACGATGCTTCTCTCTGGTGTCATTAAAAGGCAGAGCTGAGGCTGCCTGCATAATTCACCGGGGTGTTGCCACAAAGGTGCAGCCCATGTTTTCCCTTGAACTGCTCAGCTGAGGAGGAAGAGGAGCTGGAGGTTGAGGCAAAAGCCCACAGGCAGGAGAGCCCACACTCCTCCACATCCCTCCTTGCTGCTCTGTTCCCATGGATTCACAAAACCTGGAGGGAGACATGTTTCGCCATCCACTGGTCCCAGAGTGAAGCCCTTGGCAGCCGGAGCTGCCTCTCCTGTCATTCCTTTACTTCCTTGCCCCAAAGCTCCCAGTCTCAGCCCACCCAACACCCCAGTAGGACCAGTACCAATGCCGAGGCCTCCTGGCACCGCTCTCGGGCTGTACGTGCGGCAGCAGACCAGGCAGGGAGACGCTCCAGTGCAAGACTTGCAGTGGCACAAGCCCTCGGGTTTAGCAATTCGCTGGTTGGGACACAAGGCTCCACAATTCATCATTGTGCTGGGAATCTGCCACCACCGTTGATTCTTATGCCAACCCCTGGGGATCTGTTGGGCAAGGCTGCGGGAGGCAAGAGGAGCAGATGCAGCCCTCCCCAGGGCAGGGCCTGCCAGGGGCATTCTGCGTCGCTGCCTGCATGGTGTAGCAGAGGCACTGTTTGGGATGAGTCCCCACACCAACAAAAACAGGAGCTGGGCAAAGCAAGAACAAGCAAGAGGCTCTTGGGCAGATGATGTCAGGAACCCCAAGGATTCTCAGGCACATGGAAAAGGAGAAACCAGGGCAACAGCACCTGAAGGAAGGCTGGAGGGGCTGTGGGCACGTGGAGCTGGGCTCCCCTATTTAACCTGGAAAGCACTGAGGCACTGGGCCACAAATCCCACAGCTGAAGGCCATTACTGGCACATCCACCTTTCCCTCCCCAGGCTCTGCGTTTCTGCATTTCCAGAAATAACGCAGCATCAAGGAGCGCGAAGCTGGGAACAGCGCAGCATAATCACCCTTCAGCTTTGCTGTACGTACCCCTGCCCATGGGCTCCACCCCAAGGGAGACCCCAGATCCTCACTCCCAGGAGGAGGTCACAGCTGAGCCAGCAGAGCAAGGGAGTCCCTTCTTCCCACAGGAGAAATTGCAGAGGAGAAGCTGGGGCTGGCACGCAGGTTGTTTGAGCAGTTGCGTCCACACAGTCCCTCCACAGCCCGCAGAGCGTCAAACCTTGGTAAGCGCACCCTAAGGACAACGGCCCCGCGGCAGCTCAGCTCTTCGGGCAGCAGAGCGAGGTGGGCAGGACGGGGCATCGCCTCCTCACACCACGTAAGGAGTGTCCAGCACTGCCACCCCCGCCGCGACGCCGCCATCTGCGTGCTCGATGGCCTTTGTCCGCAGGAGGTGGCCGGCAGCCTTGTTCATCACCATCTCCTTACCCTGCCTGCAGAGAAAAGGGCAACTGAGCACCCAAAAAGCTAAGGCATCTTGTCTTTGGCAATTCATGTTCCCTGGTGCAGCGTGGGGCAGGAACAGGCACATAAAAGCCCCCAGGCTAGAGCAGAGGTGTCTGCAGACACCTGCCAGCGACTGTGCCCTTTCTCAGCTGGGCTGCTTTGGTCCAGTTGCGCCGCACATAAGCGGCGTCAGGTTCCGAAAGCTGCCAGAGTACATTTGTTTCTAAAACTGTACAAAGACTTGAATTTCTAAGCTGTGGAAACATTTCTACGGGCCTAGGAGGGTTTTAAAGAAAAGCAGCAGCTATTTAGGGGTGAACACGGGTATTTCCAAGATCACCAGGGCTTCAGAAAAGCATGTGGCTGCATCCAGAATCCATGAAGTACTCCCAGAAGTCAGGGATGCTCAACCGGTTCCACGTGGCCGTTACACCAGTAACTGCCAGCACCACCTCTGTGGTTTTTCAATTTGTTTGGCAGCAGGCACGGAGTGACAGTTTAGTGCCCAAACATGGCACTTGGAGAGCTGCTGCCGGGGCAGAGAGAGAACGAGCAACGTCTGACCCTCATCCCTCCACCTCCCCAAAGCCATGTGCCCTGCTCACACAGCACAGGGGGAAAACGCTCCCACCCTGAGTGCTGGCAGGCGCACGTAACAGAAGCACGTTTCTTACCTGACATAGACACCGAAAATACCGAGCTCTGAGATGCACTCGGTCACTTGTAGGGGACTGTGAGCCCTCAGCAAGTAATTCATCGCTGGCTGTGGTTTGATCTTATCCATCAAGATGTAGGAGGTTCTCTCAGGGCTGTCTCTGATCTTCTCCAGAACCTGCCTGAGCTCTTCACCATAGAGGTTGTTCCCTGACAAGAAAAAACAGCAAGTCAAGCCCTTCCCAGCTACTGCAGCCCAAACAGACCCAGCCTTGGCCTCCCCATTCCCCAGCTCTGGGGCCTGGGAGGCTCCTCGAGGAGCAGCAGTACCTTACTGCCATGACTAGTCCCCCAGAGCAGCTACAAGCCAGCTCCCCCCACCTCAGCACAGGACCAGGAGCCATCCTGAAGCTACTGCCTCTCCTGGACATGGCACAACCCACAAGGAAACCTGCAGGGACCCCATCAGGCTCATACCTCCACCTTCTCGCTGCGGCTTCAGCACAAAGCGGTCAGGGTCAGCAATGGCCGCAGCAGCTATCTTGTCACCCTCTTTGCCCTGGTAGGAAAGGGTGGGAACAGAAAATCATCAGGGAGGAGGAGCATGTCTGCTCTGAGCAGGACCATCAGAGACCACAACAAAACTTTCTCATCTTCTTAACCAAAGAGAAACATCATGCAGGGCAAGCACACCTCGGCACGTTCATTTCTGCTCCAGCCCCGCTCACACTCACCATGTCCAGGGAATAGAGCCCAGCAAAT